CCCTTCTTATGTCAGTCTTTCTCCTTTTGGGGAGCAATAGCAGTTCTGTGTACCACAGCTCATTGTTCCAGTGACTCTGGGTATTGACTATTAATTTCACTAGTAGTAAAGGACTACATTTTTTGTTACAAGATTTTAAAACACAGGTGCATAATGCTTTATTTTCCATCTTGAATTTTTGTCTCTGCTGTGAATTTAAGATTCATTTGTTTTGATTTTCTTGTTGCTATGACCAAATGCCTGATAAGCGACTTGAGGGAAGGTTTTTTTTCTTCACCTCAAGGTTCGAGGTGATAAGTGTCTGTCACGGATGTGGCTCCTTGGAGCTGGAGTTACAGGCAGTTGTGATCCACTTGATAGATGCTGGGAATTGGTCTTTGTGGACATACAAAACATTTCATTAGGGTAGAAGTGTAGAATTTGGATTACTGAGTCAAAGAATATAGGGCATTTAAAATTTTGATTATATATTAGTCATTTGTCTTCCTTCTAGACTTGAAGTGACTTCTTTAAGCAGCATAGAATTTCCTTTAATTCAGAAAGATGGCTGACACACTGCTGTCTTTTGTATCTTGATTTACCCTGAGGTGGAAGACTGACTTGCTCTTTTTATGCTTCCTGGTTTTCTGCTTCTGTACAGCATTTCATTTTTGGCCTTATACCATGAGCCAAGATCTGTCCTGGGTGCTAAGAGAGGATAGCTGTTGCCTTCAGCAAGTTCTCAGCTTACAGAAGGCTTGCCAAGCCAATAGGCGCTATACTATATATACCCTGTTCTTCAATAAGATTTTTTTTGCGAAAAACTTAAGATTACTTTTTAGTGTATTATTAGGGTCTGTTTTTTTCCCCTTCTATTTTAATGGGTTACATATGGCCATTTTCATGTAAGTATAAAATTATTTTGAGCATATTTCCCCCCATACCTTGCTAACCCTGAGCCCTCCTTCCTCCTGATCATTAGTTCCCCTTCTAGAGGCCTGCATTTTTAAATGATTTAACAATTCTATATTAAAGCTTTATTTCGTTAGGGCTATTTATGGAGAGTAGTGTGTTTAATGTGTATTATAAAAAGTGTGAGATACTTACATGCCAACTTTTCTTCCCTCAATACAGGAATGGGTAGGACAAGTGGAAATGAGTGCCCTTTCTCTAATGTACAGGTAAACACTGAG